AAGATTTTTGGTGTGATTGTTGGGATGGGAAGAGGGGAGAGGGGGGGTTGATGGTTTTTTGTGTTTAGAAGGGGAAACCCCCTTCCCTTAGGACTTTGAGGGGTGGCAAGTCCCTTTTTCCCGGGGGTTTCTTCCCTTTCCCCTTTTTTTTTTGGGGTTTCGAGACATTAAAAACACTTTAGTGATTTTAATATGTCCTGCACACTAGCAAGGTGTAAGTTTAAATTTTGGTTACAGGTAACTTTTTTTTTTATTATTTACACTGGCCCAAATTTCCCCCCAAGGAGGGGGGGCACGAAAAAGAAAAAAATTTCACCATATTCACTCCATCCCCTGTCTTGCCCAAAAAGGGTGCTTTTAATACGTTTAAACTGCAACTTTAACCCCCCTCCTTTAAGTATAATTATAGAGTTTTACAGTGGACCCCCGACCAAGATGGCATCGAATTTAAAGATAAATCCCATTGCGTTTCATTTTTTAAAAAAGATTTTTGCCCTCGACTTGCGCTAAAAAACTGACCAACACTATTTGTTCCGTCGACGTGTTTACTTCTGGGCCCGTGTTTACAAGCCCGCCCGCCCGCGGTCGCTTTCCCAAACCCTACAATCGGAAAAATTTCTGTTAAACACAGCCTTTTTTTGTGATTGCACCTGCCCAAAAAAAGTCACTATGGGCCCCCGAAAATTTCTAGGGCCAAACCCCCAGCAAAAAAGGGTTTAGAAAATTTTTATGGATATGAAGAAAAGGACATTGCTAAGGATGAAAAGGGGGAGTGCGGGATCTCCCCGGGTGGCCGGTTGTACACAAAACCCCAAATCAAACCGCTACTATTGTGGCCAAGAAAAAGGCAATCAAAAGGGAAGCTGTTCTTGCCGAAGTTGCAACTATGTTTTCGAAACTGAGATCGCAAGTACTCGAAGATGTTGAGAGACTGTTATTGGTGTGGATAAACAAAAAACAGATAGCAGGAGATAGCATCTCTCAAGCGATCATATGTGAAAAGGCTAGGAAGTTGCATGACGATTTAATGAAAAAAATGCCAGCAACTAGTGGTGATGTGAGTGAATTTAAGGCCAGCAAAGGTTGGTTTGAGAGATTTAACCCTTTGAGGGTCGACAGGCCCTCTCCGAAACTCGTTCTCAGGGTCGGCCAAATTTCAAAAAAAAAAAATTATTTTTTCTTATGAAAAAATAGAGTTTTTTTTTCTAAACATTATAGGATAAACAAAAAAAATTTACCATCAATACTTACGGAGATATGGATGCATGAAGTTTGCAGAAAATGAGCTGCGTATGGCAACAGCAGCAACTGCCGCTCACCCGGTAAACTTTAGTTTACTTGTATTTGAAGGTTTGTTGTTTTTTTCACTATTTTATTTTTTCACATAACTTATGTGGCCTATGAGACCAAAGTAAGGTGCAATGTACATATATACACTCGTTGTATACAACACAATAAGCACACAAACATAATTATCAATATATTGTTTACAAAACTTGTTTACAAAAACAAACAATACAAAACATTGTTTATTATTATTGTTTATAATATATATACCAATATACAGTCACTGAACATTTTCCCTATTAGTTCTGCAGCTTGTGGAACTCTGAAACATGGTTTGTCATACACAATGGTGTTTTATCTTTCTCCCTCATTCTATCTCTTTCAATCTGTCTCTCTATTTCTATCTGTCTGTCTATCTTGTCTCACAGGTACACATAAATACAAGTATACATAGTATAAATTACCTAGGATAACCCAAGAAATCCAGACAAAGTGCTATACTCTGCTTGAAGATGTGAGTAAAAGTGATGACACAGTCTTGTGGCTCTCTGAGACAGAGAGCTAGACGGATAGACAGATAGACAGGGAGCTTGACAGACAGACAAATAGACAGACAGAAATGTTAGTGTACCAGTACCAGTGTACTAGTGTTCCACCCTCCTCCTCCTCTTCTTCCTCTTCCCCCTACTCTTCCTCCTCTTCCCCCTACTCTTCCTCATACTCTTCCTCTTCCTCCTCCTCCTCTTCTTCCTCTTCCTCCTACTCTTCCTCTTCCTCCTATCTTCCTCTCCTCCTCCTCTTCTTCTTCCTCTTCCTCCTCTTCCCCCTAATCTTCCTCCTAATATTCCTCTTCCTCCTCCTCTTCCTCTTATTCCTCTTCCTCCTACTCTTCCTCTTCCTCCTCCTCCTCTTCCTCCTCCTCCTCTTCTTCCTCTTCCCCCTACTCTTCCTCCTTCTCCTTCTCCTCCATAGTGTAAATTACCAGGAGTCGGCAGCTGTCAAATGACATATTGTTCATTACTCACACCCCCTCCGCCTGTCAAAACAATGGGGTCGGATGCTGCTTCCCTTCCTCCATTCTATCTAATTATCTTTTCCCTCATTCTATCTGTCTTTTTATCTCTGTTCACAGGTACACATAAATACAAGTATTACATAGTATAAATTACCTAGGATAACCCAAGAAACCCAGACAAAGTGCTATACTCTGCTTGAAGATGTGAGTAAAAGTGATGACACAGTCTTGTGGCTCTCTGAGACAGAGAGCTAGACGGATAGACAGGGAGCTTGACAGACAGGCAAATAGACAGACAGAAATGTTAGTATACCAGCAAAAACAAAAGGAGGGAGATGTTTATCTCATCTTTTGGCATCAGCTCTACCCTCATTTACCCTCATCAAACGTCAGCACTTATCAGATGTTATCTCCCCTTATCTTGTTACTGTCATGGGTGAACATTTATTATTATCTATTATTATTATTATGTATTATTATTATTTATTATTATTATGTATTATTATTATTATGTATTATTGTTATCATTACGTATTCTTCTTCTTCCTCCTCCTCTTCTTCTTCCTCCTCCTCCTCCTCTTCTTCTTCCTCCTCCTCCTCCTCCTCTTCTTCCTCCTCCTCCTCCTCCTCTTCTTCCTCCTCCTCCTCCTCTTTTTCTTCTCCTCCTCCTCCTCCTCTTTTCCTCCTCCTCCTCTTGCCTCCTCCTCCTCTTGCCTCCTCCTCTTCTTGCCTCCTCCTCCTCTTGCCTCCTCCTCCTCTGCCTCCTCCTCCTCCTCCATTCTTGGAACAAGTTGAAGAGCTTGTAGTTCATAATCACTATCACTATCATCACCCAAAGCTCACAAACTGAGTCTGGGATTTTGGAAAATAGGAGTTTCCTCTTTGATTCTGGTACAACTGAACGTGAACAAGATGGCCCAGCACCAGAGTGGAAGGGTGTGGGTTGTCTGGGTTTTCCTCACTATTACCCATATTATGGTCATTAGTTTCGGTCAAACCTCACCAGAACCTTGAAACTCATCTTCACTGTCACTTCCATCTGTATTAGAACTGTCACTGGGGAACAAAAGTGTCCCAATTCGCCGAGGAGTGAGGAACTTCTTACCACAGGGCACGTGGAAATTGTGTACTATGATGGCATTCCCACAATGCACCACTGGGTCCCAGATTTTTTTCCTACTGCGCACACCCACCACACGGACCCATTCTCTCACATCTAGGCTTATCAGCTTTTCCTGTGAGATTTGAGGCCGCTAGAATTTATGCGTACTAGTACGACAAAAACCCCTACGCATAAGACGTAAATAGTACGACCAAAACCCTTAAAGGGTTTAAATGGCATATATTACGTTATTATAAAACATTTTCTTTAATTCAGCTATGATATTTTTTCAAAATTATATAATAAACATGATACATAACATATAAAGATGATAAATACACCCCACAATAAAATAAATAAACATAAATGTGAGATGTCATAGCCAGATAACTTGTACAAGTGACAGCAAGAATAACATTTTCTCTAGTCCAACATAAGAGAAAATGTGTTACTGCGGGTAATGCAGAAAATTATTCCTTTCGTATGTAAGTTTATTCAGGTATACACAAATACAGTTACATAGATTATCATACATAGCAGCATATGTGTAAAGTACCTAGGATAACCCAAAAAAGTCACAGAGTGACTTATTTTCATTGCCTTCACTCAGAGCGTCATTTCTTCTAAAATGGTGCTTTGAGAATGGGAGTGTTCCTCTTTATTTATTCTACCGTATCAATGTAGAGACAACTTGTACACAATGTAACTTGTACACAAACTTGACGTGTGCACCTGGTTTGTTTACAAAACTGGCATTCGCCTGGTTTGTTTACATTACTCTGCACCTGTCCTCCCTCATGTACTCATTCTCTCTCTCTCATTTATTTGTTTTATCTCATTTACTCACCCTGACTCTACATTAAGACTACAAATATTTTAAGGTAAGTAATGAGTGTACAATATGTGCATTTTACTTATTTATTGTTTTTTAAAGCCTAGTTCTATTGCTAACTTAATATATGTTAGTGTAAACTTGTTATCTAGTATTGTATGCATTTATAAGTGGAAAAAAAGGTGTTCTACTTTACGGCGATTTCCGCTTTACGGCGGTAGCCTGGAACCTAACCTGCTGTATAAGTGGGGCCCTACTGTAGCAGTATCAGCAAAATCTTGGTATTCTTTCATCCCTACATAGTATTTCAATAAAAATCTAGGTAGGCAGTTATATAAGAAAGATTTGAACAAAGGGCACAAACATCATGAACAGTGAAGCCTCAGCAAACATAACACCCTCACCTGACTTCCTAAGGCAGCCACTGTGCTTCTCAAGCTCTTAAACTCAATTTTTGCTAACCAGTTTTCCCTGTCTTCCCTTTCCTTGGATTGAACCTGATTGCCTCCCATTCTCCCAGGCACTGCATGACCCCTATGTGTTTAGCACTCACTCCCACCTCCCCCCACCCTCCATGAATGCAAAATTAATACATAATGAAGCAATTAAGACAACTTAATCAAAGCTCTAAATATCTTATATATCACTGAGCTGAATTTGTGACTCAATCTGACTCTCCTCTGATGAAACTCTGGCAAAGCTATTATAAAATTATCGTGCATAACTTAAAACTAATATGAATAAACAAACCAAAAAAGACATACCTAACACCTTTCTCCAGAACTAGCAGGTCAATCATACTTGCTGTTACAGTTGCAATGTGTCGGACATTGATCATCATGTATGGTCGGGATATGGTTGTCATGTCCCAGTAGTCTACAAGTATAACAACACACACTGCATCGTGGTCCAACATAGCTGCCAAGAAATATTAACAAAATGCAGAAGGCATCAAGGTCTAAACATAATTACAGCTTCTCCTCACTTAGCGACGCACTCGTTCACCAACAATTCTGACTTACGATGGGCTCTCTGACCAGCATACATACCTAAATAATGTATATTACAGCTGAGTTCCTCTATTCTATTTATTACAATATACAGTACAATACTGTATAAACATTTAAAAATATACCAGTAAAGTTATAAATGGTGCAAAGGTGACATTAAAACGACATCACAGATGGATGGCACAAACCCACCATTATAGTATGCTCCTCACTTAGCGACGAATTCGTTTATCAGTGTGGTCTTGGGAACGGAACTCCGTCGTTAAATGAGGAGAGGCGGTATATGATAAATAAATAACTACTCTCACTGAATAAATAAAAAAATAATTACTGTAACTAACTAAATACCAGACTGAAGGGAGAGAGAATGGAGGAGGTGAATGTATTCAGATATTTGGGAGTGGATGTGTCAACAGATGGGTCTATGAAGGATGAGGTGAATCACAGAACTGATGAGGGGAAAAGGGCGAGTGGTGCACTTAGGAGCCTGTGGAGACAAAGAACTTTGTCCGTGGAAGCAAAGAGGGGAATGTATAAGAGTATAGTTATAACAACATTCTTATATGGGTATGAAGCATGAGTGGTGAATGTTGCAACAAGGAGAAGGCTGGAGGCAGTAGAGATGTCATGTCTGAGGGCAACGTGTGGTGTGAATATAATGCAGAGAATTCGTAGTTTGGAAATTAAGAGAAGGTGCGGATTACCAAAATTATTATCCAGAGGGCTGAGGAAGGGTTGTTGAGGTGGCTCGGACATGCAGAGAGAATGGGACGAAACAGAATGACTTCAAGAGTGTATAAATCTGTAGTGGAGGGAAGGCGGGGTAGGGGTTGGCCTAGGAAAGGTTGGAGGGAGGGGGTAAAGGAGGTTTTGTGTGCGAGGGGCTTGGACTTACAGCAAGCATGTGTGAGCATATTTTAGGATCTGACATGCTGTTAGAATGTGAGCAGGGTAACAGTTATGAAGGGATTCGGGGAAACCGGCAGGCCAGACTTGAGTCCTGGAGATGGGAAGTACAGTGTCTGCACTCTGAAAGAGGGGTCTTAATGTTGGAGTTTTATAACTGCAGTGTAAGCATGTCTCTGGCAAGACAGTGATGGAGTGAATGATGATGAAAGTTTTCTTTTTCAGGCCACCTTGTCTTGGTGGGAACCAGCTGATGTGTTAATAAATAAAAACTAAATACATACCAAAAGCAGGAGACAAACTTGGGTGTTCAGAGACATAATAAACTTGGGAAAATTTGATTAACACAGAAAAAAGTTTGATGATTACTGAATGTGCATTGCTATCACACTTTCGTAAAGTCAAAATATAATAAGTTGAACCATCATAAAGCGAGGAGCATCTGTACATGAAGCAAAGCACTAAAACCATGTGACTTGTTCAGTACAAGGTGAGGTGGAGCCTTAACCCACTGTCTGATAAAACCATGCAAGTTGTTCAGTACAAGGTGAGGTGGAGCCTCCACCCACTGTCTGATAAAACCATCCGAGCCATTCAGTATAAGGTGAGGTGGAGCCTCCACCCACTATCTGATAAAACCATGTGAGTCATTCAGTACAAGGTGAGGTGGAGCCTACACCCACTGTCTGATAAAACCATGCGAGTCATTCAGTACAAGGTGAGGTGGAGCCTACACCCACTGTCTGATAAAACCATGCGAGTCATTCAGTACAAGGTGTGGAGCCTACACCCACTGTCTGATAAACCACATGATCATTCAGTACAAGGTGAGGTGGATCCTCCACCCACTATCTGATAAAACCATGTGATTCAATTCAGTACAAGGTGAGGTGGAGCCTACACCCACTGTCTGATAAAACCATGCGAGTCATTCAGTACAAGGTGAGGTGGAGCCTACACCCACTGTCTGATAAAACCATGCGAGTCATTCAGTACAAGGTGTGGAGCCTACACCCACTGTCTGATAAAACCACATGAGTCATTCAGTACAAGGTGAGGTGGAGCCTACACCCACTGTCTGATAATCATGGAACACAGTTCCGAATTTTATTCACTGATGTTCTAAATGGAAAAAAATTAAAGTTAGTTATCATCTTATGAGCCAAGAGCCCAAAGCAAATAACCTCGTGTTCTGTCTTACTTATCAATCTATTAACCCATAAACGGTCCAAATGTATATATACGTCCTCTAAACCCAGCGCTCTGAATATTTTTGAAAAAAAAAAAAGAAATTAAATAAAAAATAAAGAGCGCTTTTTTTTCTGAGTGTTATAGGATAAAAACAAATTTAGGGTCAGTACTTACCGAGACATGAGGCCGTGAAGTTGGCACTGGATGCTCACCTGACGACAACATCAATTCCTATCACTTGCAGAAGAGTTGCCGATATACCTTTTTTTTCTCGTTTTTATATTTTATATAATTTTTATGTTCTGATAATTACAATTTAATAGTAGTTCTTGTGATTTCATATCCAATCTTTCTTCTGACACTAATATTAGGAAATGAAACTGTACACAAATTGTCACAAACAAACTGACAAGTGAACATTTACACCTCCCTTGCCATTTACTATTGTTTAGGAATATATACAGAGTATTCATAGGTCCCAGCAATGTTTTGGATATGCAGGAGTACATGGTACATAATAATAATAATAATAATAATAATAATAATAAAATAATAATAATAATAATAATAATAATAAAAATAATAAAAATAATAATAAAAATAATAAAAATTTAATAATAATAATAATAATAATAATAATAAAATAATAATAATAATAATAATAATAAATAATAATATATCGGATCATTATTTAGTTGAAGCTACAGTCAGAGTAAGAGGTAGATGGGAAAAAAGGAAGGTGGCAACAACAAGTAAGAGGGGGGTTTGAAAGTGTATAAACTAAGGGGGAGGAAGTTCGGGTGAGATATAAGCGACTATTGGCAGAAAGGTGGGCTAGTGCAAAGATAAGTAGGGGGAGGGTGAATGTTGAAGAGGGTTGGAATAGTTTTTAAAAATAAAGTATTAGAATGTGGGGCAGAAGTTTGTGGTTATAGGAGGGTGGGTGCAGGAGGAATGAGGAGTAACTGGTGGAATGATGAAGTAAAGGGTGTGATAAAAGAGAAAAAGGTAGCTTATGAGGGGTTTTTTTACAAAGCAGAAGTGTTATAAGAAAGCAGCGTATATGGAGAGTAAAAGAAAGGTGAAGAGAGTGGTGAGAGAGTGCAAAAGGAGAGCAGATGATAGAGTGGGAGAGGCACTGTCAAGAAATTTTAATGAAAATAAGAAAAAATTTTGGAGTGAGTTAAACAAGTTAAGAAAGCCTAGGGAAAGTATGGATTTGTCAGTTAAAAACAGAGTAGGGGAATTAGTAGATGGGGAAAGGGAGTATTAGGTAGATGGCGAGAATATTTTGAGGAACTTTTAAATGTTGAGGAAGAAAGGGAGCGGTAATTTCATGCACTGGCCAGGGAGGTATATCATCTTTTAGGAGTGAAGAGGAGCAGAATGTAAGTGTGGTGAGGTACGTGAGGCATTACGTAGAATGAAAGGGGGCAAAGCAGCTGGAACTGATGGGATCATGACAGAAATGTTAAAAGCAGGGAGGGATATAGTGTTGGAGTGGTTGGTACTTTTGTTTAATAAATGTATGAAAGAGGGGAAGGTACCTAGGGATTGGCGGAGAGCATGTATAGTCCTTTATATAAAGGGAAAGGGGATAAAAGAGATTGTAAAAATTATAGAGGAATAAGTTTACTGAATATACCAGGAAAAGTATACAGTAGGGTTATAATTGAAAGAATTAGAGGTAAGACAGAATGTAGGATTGCAGATGAGCAGGGAGGCTTCAGAGTGGGTAGGGGATGTGTAGATCAAGTGTTTACATTGAAGCATATATGTGAACAGTATTTAGATAAAGGTAGGGAAGTTTTTATTGCATTTATGGATTTAGAAAAGGCATATGATAGAGTGGATAGAGGAGCAATGTGGCAGATGTTGCAAGTATATGGAATAGGTGGTAAGTTACTAAATGCTTTTAAAGAGATTTTTATGAGGATAGTGAGGCTCAGGTTAGGTGTGTAGAAGAGAGGGAAAATACTTCCTGGTAAAAGTAGGTCTTTAGACAGGGATGTGTAATGTCACCATGGTTGTTTAATATATTTAAAGATGGGGTTGTAAAAGAAGTAAATGCTAGGGTGTTCGGGAGAAGGTGGGATTAAATTATGGGGAATCAAATTCAAAATGGGAATTGACACAGTTACTTTTTGCTCATGATACTGTGCTTATGGGAGATTCTAAAAGAAAAATTGAAAAGGTTAGTGGATGAGTTTGAGAATGTGTGTAAAGGTAAAAGTTGAAAGTGAACATAGAAAAGAGTAAGGTGATGAGGGTATCAAATCATTTAGATAAAGAAAAATTGGATATCAAATTGGGGAGGAGGAGTATGGAAGAAGTGAATGTTTTCAGATACTTGGGAGTTGACGTGTCAGTGGATGGATTTATGAAGGATGAGGTTAATCATAGAATTGATGAGGGAAAAAAGGTGAGTGGTGCATTGAGGTATATGTGGAGTCAAAAAACGTTATCTATGGAGGCAAAGAAGGGAATGTATGAAAGTATAGTAGTAACCAACACTCTTATATGGATGTGAAGCTTGGGTGGTAAATGCAGCAGCGAGGAGACAGTTGGGGGCAGTGGAGATGTCCTGTCTAAGGGCATGTGTTGTGTAAATATTATGCAGAAAATTCGAAGTGTGGAAATTAGGAGAAGGTGTGGTGAGTTAATAAAAGCTTTAGTCAGAGGGCAGAAGAGGGCTTGTTGAGGTGGTTTGGTCATTTAGAGAGAATGGATCAAAGTAAGTAGAATGACATGGAAAGCATATAAATCTAGAGGGGAAGGAAGGAGGAGTAGGGGTCGTCCTCGAAAGGGTTGGAAAGAGGGGTAAACGAGGTTTTGTGGGCGAGGGGCTTGGACTTCCAGCAAGCATGCATGAGCGTGTTAGATAGGAGTGAATGGAAACGAATGATACTTGGGACCTGACGATCTGTTGGAGTGTGAGCAGGGTAATATTTAGTGAAGGGATTCAGGGAAACTGGTTATTTTCATATAGTCGGACTTGAGTCCTGGAAATGGGAAGTACAATGCCTGCACTTTAAAGGAGGGTTTGGGATATTGGCAGTTTGGAGGGATATGTTGTGTATCTTCATATGTATATGCTTCTAAACTGTTGTATTCTGAGCACCTCTGCAAAAACAGTGATAATGTGTGAGTGTGTTGAAAGTGTTGAATGATGAAAGTATTTTCTTTTTGGGGATTTCCTTTCTTTTTGGGTCACCCTGCTCGGTGGGAGACGGCCGACTTGTTGAAAAAAAAAAATAAATAAATAATAATAATAATAATAATATCTAGGTAGTAGGTTGGTAGACAGCAACCGCCCAGGGAGGTACTACCGTTCTGCCAAGTGAGTTGTAAAACAGAAGCCTGTAATTGTTTTACATGATGGTAGGACTGCTGGTGTCCTTTTTTTCTGTTCATAAACATGCAAGATTTCAGGTACGTCTTGCTACTTCTACTTACACTTAGGTCACACTACACATTCATGTACAAACATATATATACACCACCCATCTGGGTTTTCTTCTATTTTCTTTCTTGTTCTTGTTTATTTCCTCTTACCTCCATGGGGAAGTGGAACAGAATTCTTCCTCCGTAAGCCATGCGTGTTGTAAGAGGCGACTAAAATGCCGGGAGCAAGGGCTAGTAACCCCTTCTCCTGTATATATTACTAAATGTAAAAGGAGAAACTTTCGTTTTTTCCTTTTGGGCCACCCCACCTTGGTGGGCCACCCCGCCTCGGTGGGCCACCCCGCCTCGGTGGGCCACCCGGCCTCGGTGGGATACGGCCGGTGTGTTAAAAGAAAGAATAATAATAATAATAAGTTCCTTTCAAGCATGATGTAAGACCAGTGTCAGTCCACTGCTGACAGTGCAGTGGTGACATTTGATGATTGTCTACGGCCCTGCCTTTATTTGTTTTCACTGTTACACACAAACATGTCTGTCTGTCTCTGTCTGTCTAGTTCTGTCTGTCTGTCTAGTTCTATCTGTCTGTCTAGTTCTCTGTTTATCTCTGTCTGCTTATTTGTCTCTCTCTCTCTCTCTGCTTGTCTCTCACTCTGTCTCAGAAAGAGCCACTTGTGAACCAACAGGTATTACATACGACTGCGTCATCACGTCTGGTTCCTGAGCAAGTGTAAATACGCATTTGCCAGTCATGTTTAAGCATTATATCTACAAGCACAGTACAGCACTTTGTCTAGATTTTTTGGGTTATCCTAGGTAATTTACATTATGTATAATTGTATTTGTGTACCTGTGAGACAGAGACAGAGAGACAGATAGACAGAGACAGGTAAAAAGTGATAAACAGACAGAGATACACACATACAGACAGACAGACGGAGATAGAGCCATCAAACCAGCAGCCGGCCAGCCAGTTGGCCAGCTTTTTAATACTGCACACACCGAGTGTTAAGACCCATTCTATGCTGATCAGGGATCTCAGGCCAATCATGCCAAATTTGGAGGCAGGAAAAATAAAACTTAGATCTACATTAGGAGCACTAGCGGTAAGAACGTTTCATACGTATACGTTTGGACCGTTTATGGGTTAAAGTTACTAATATCTAGCAATGTCTCAATGTTATATGCAACTTAGCTAGTTTAGTTTAATTGCTTAGTTGCCAGATTTAGAATCATATTCTGAAATGATTCTAAGTCTGCATAGTAGAATATAACAATGCAGGATAATAATGATGAATTATGGTGTGTGAGTACTTTATAAAACTGGGTCAAAAACAATAAAACTACAATGCATACTTCTTACCATTAGTGAGGTTGATTACCCAGGGTCTGATGGATGACTCAGTGTATCCATGGATGATGATAAACACTGGTGTGGAAGAAGAGACTGGCAGTAACTCCATGCCTTCTTTTGTTGCTTTAAACTCTTTCCTGTCTTCATGCGAACTGTTAAAAAGATATAAGGATATGAGAGATACAGCCTCTCCTCACTTAGTGACGTATTTGTTTACTGACGTATTCGAACTTACGACGGGCATGCATACTATACCTAAATAATGCATATTAGAGCCGATATCCTCTCATCCTCTCTTCTGTTTATTACAATATACAGTACACTACTATATAAACATTTAAAAATATACCAGAAATGTTATAAATGGTGCAAAGGTGACATTAAAACAATATCAAAAATGGTTGACACAAACCCACTACCATTACAGTATGGAAGGAAACTTCGTCATTAAGTGAAGAGAGGCGTATTATGTACATGTATATATATTTTTTTGTAGGTATAAGTTGGTAGACAGCTGCCACCCAGGGAGGTACTACCATCCTTCCAAGTGAATGTAAAATGAAAGACTGTAATTGTTTTACATGATGGTAGGATTGCTGGTGTTTTTTCTGTCTCATAAACATGTAAGGTTTCAGGTATGTCTTGCTACTTCTACTTACACTTACGTCACAACACATACATGTACAAGCATATATATACACCACCCCTCTGGGTTTTCTTCTATTTCTTACTAGTTTCTTGTTCTTGTTTATGTCCTCTTATCTCCATGGGGAAAGTGGGAAAAGAATTCTTCCTCCGTAAGCCATGTGTGTTGTAAGAGGCAACTAAAATGCCAGGGAGCAAGGAGCTAGTAACCCCTTCTCCTGTATATATTACTAAATGTGAAAGGAGAAACTTTTTGTTTTTCCATTTGGGCCACCCCGCCTCGGTGGGATATGGCCGGTGTGTTGAAAGAAAGAAAGATGTATATTTTTTTGTAGGTAGTAGGTTGGTAGACAGCAACCACCCAGGGAGGTACTACCGTCCTGCCAAGCGAGTGTAAAACGAAAGCCTGTAATTGTTTTTACATGATGGTAGGATTGCTGGTGTCTTTTTTTTTCTGTCTCATACACATGCAAGATTACAGGTACATCTTACTACTTCTACTTAGGTCACACTACACATACATGTACAAGCATATAATACACACTCCTCTGGGTTTTCTTCTATTTTCTTTCTAGCTCTTGTTCTTGTTTATTTCCTCTTACCTCCATGGGGAAGTGGAACAGAATTCTTCCTCCATAAGCCATGCGTGTTGTAAAAGGCGACTAAAATGCCAGTAGCAAGGGCTAGTAACCCCTTCTCCTACAAAATACATGTATTACTAAATGTAAAAGGAGAAACTTTCGTTTTTCCTTTTGGTCCACCCCACATCGGTGGATACAGTTGGTGTGTTGAAAGAAAGAAGTATATATTTTTTTTAGCACACGACTATCTCCCACCAAAACAGGGTGACCCAGAAAAGGAAAAAACTAAAATTTTTCTTTTTAAATTTAGTAATGCATACAGGAGAAGGGATTACTAGTCCCCTTGCTCCCAGCATTTAGTCGCCTCTTATGACCACATGGCTTACGAAGGAAGGATTCTTTTCCACTTACCCATCTACCTGAGTCTACCTGGAGGGCATTACGGAGATCAACGCCCCAGCGGCCTGGTCCACAACCAGGCCTCCCGGTGGATCAGGGCCTGAACAACGAGGCTGTTACTGCTGGCCACACGTATCCAACATACAAACCACAGACCAGCAGTTGTGGCACTGACTTTTGAAGACAACCAGGGATCTATTGGTAATTCCCCTTATGGCTGTTGAGAGGCTGTTGAAGTCTTAGACCCCATGGAGTAAATTTTTTTTTTTTTTATTAACACGTCGGCCATTTCCCACCAAGGCAGGGTGCCCAAAAAAAAAGAAAAACTTTCATCATCATTCAATCCATGACTGTCTTCCCAGAGGCACACTTACACTGCAGTTAAAAAAAACTGCAAAACCCCCCCTTTA